AAAAAAAGGATTTTCTTTGTGCATCCATTGCATCAGAGTTTACTGGAAGCAGTGACAGGGAGGTGAAACATCTGGAAAACATACATACCCCACATACACACAGGCTGCATATATGATTGTGGTTTCCTAGAGCTTTTTGTCACAGTGAAGAAAGCTGACTGGAAACAGCTGGAGTTAGAGTGGCACTACTCTTCAGAGCTGTGAAGAGAGAACGTTTCTAAAATCCAGTAATTAAAAAAAAGAGCAAATAATGATTTTGTGTCTGCTGGGATAAAGGTTACGTTTTTTCTCCAATGAGTTGGAAGTCAGTGGGGAGAGGGGGTCAAAAGTGAGGTTGTGTAATAACCAAAAAGCACACAGAGGGTCTATCATCATTGCGCAGATAGCTACAGCAGCAGAGCTCAACACTGTGTACAGAGCCTGTTTGACGGAGGGTGCGAGCCGCAAAATGTTGGACCGCTCAACGTCAAGCTGTCTTTAGCTGTTTTATAACAGTTTTGCTCTCAAAGTTATCAAAAGAAACTGAGCTTATGTTACAGCTCAGCAGGCCTGGATTGTTTTCAGTTAAAAAGGCATTTCTCAAAACGTGTACATGTGACCCATTATCTACTTTTGCTGTGGATTATGTTAAGAGAACCTGTGCTGGGATAAAGGTAATTTGAAACGGCTGACATCAAGCTAAAGGTCACCGTCCTCACAGCTTTGCAAAAAATACCGTTAGTAACTTCTCAGTTAGCTGTGTTGTGGCTTTTTATTACACGGTTTACAATACAGCCTGTTTCTCTCACTACAAAAGGCTTAATCATGGTTTTATTACTCCTGAAAATAAATTACAACAGCATGAAAATCCCTCCTGGACTTGTTGCAATAGAAAGTTGAGCATACTGCCAAGAATGTCCCATAAATATGAAAGAAACTGTCTCGCAGCCACACAGATATATACAATCTTACTAAACAATGTTGTGACTAATGCCGATATCTGAGCGCTTAAAACCGCAGATAGGCCCAACTGTTTACCAACTCCCAACCGCAAGAAATGTCAGCGTACCTTTATTTACATTATCATCTAACCAGTTTGCATTTTTCATCCAAGCATATGCTGGAAGACTGATTCTGATTTCCCTCAGAAGCACTATGGAAACCGTCATAAATAACGAGTGATGAGGTACTGCGCTCTTCCTCTTCCCTCGTGCAGTTTGATGGAAAACTACGTGTACACCACTCASTTACACGCGTGCCTGGACAAGCCCAGTGGGACTCACTGTGAGTCATCCATCCAGAAAATGACACAACTATCACGAGCTGAACGCCTGTTTCAACAGTCGGCTTTCAGATAAGAGCTGCATCACTGGCTGACTAAATTTCTGCAGCCTCCTCAACCGCTCCAGGAAAAGAAAAATGGTTTCGCTGTATGATGCAAAAAGTTATCACGCCCAGCAATTTAGGGCAAGAGCCTGTATTAGAGGCAAGAGGTCAGGAGGAATCCAAGCTGAGCGAGGAACAATAACAACTTMAGGCTGGTAAAAATGTGAAAGTGGCTGGTAGGTTTGAGGAAGTTCGTGTTCTCTGATTTCAAACTGAACTGGAATRGGATCCACAGGGCCTGAAGCAAGAAAGTAACAGCCAACGTTATGTGCATAAAACTATAACTTCAACGTCAGCTTCATTCGGAGTCGGGTTTCATCTTTCTCTTTCACAATATACAGTTCATAAATCTTACATGTTCACTTATGGAGTGTTACTGAGCTTCCTTGGCTCTCATTTGGGATTTTTCTCTTTTTTTACACTCARTAAATCATACAGCAAAGATATTTGTCTTCACATTTGTGACAATAAACATAGCCATGAGCCTGCTACTTTCAGGTGTTTTCCACTTTGGAGTGTGTGTGTGAT